TGAAGCTGATCATCAACAGAGGGACAGGACCAGACCAACAGAAGTCAGGATCGCCCCGCATCCCAGCCAAAACATGAAAAATATCTACAAAAGTATGCCATTTGTTGAAGGAGTGGTTGAGATCGGTCTTGCGGTGAAGAAATAGTCATTATCCTTGAGGACGACAGGTTAGCCCGATTGTAGAGTCAGGACTATGACATTTAGTGCGGTCGTGAAGAATCCGAAGCAGCGGTCATCATCCATGTAAAGGAGGATGCGACCGATCTTGAAATGAGAATGATGGCACCGAGCCGATCCTGATGAGGATGGCAACTCGTAGGCCGACTATGAATCCAAAACAGCGATCATAATCCAAGTGAAGGAGGATCTGACTGTTCTTGAGACGGGAATGACAGTGTTGAGTCGGAGCTAACGTTGACGACGACTCATTGCCAGGAAGAGCAAGGGTATGAACTGCCTCTCACGTCGGGTTAGGGAAGGCGATCTTACTTGTACAGCTCCAGCTTACTTTACTTGTTTTCTTGTAGGTACAGCCGGTTGGGAGAATCACACAACTTCCCTTCCTGATGCCGGGGAGAAGCATGCATCCCCCTGCTTCACAAAGTACCACCTGATGGGAGGAGCATAGGTATACGTTGCTTCTTAAGACGGGCAAGAGAAATATTCCTGTTAGTGGGCACCAGGCTCACTTTGTTCATTTCCTTGCAGATACGGTGGGCTGGAGAAATGAACTTGCTAACCTGGAAGCGAAGAAAGATACTAAATCTCGTCCTCCGACATCTCACTCATGTCCCGATAGTGCTAAGGAGAAGCATAATTCCTCCCCCTCTAGTGAGGAGCCACTTGCTAAGAGGAGAAAAAGTGTAGTCTGCTTCTTAGGGTAGGTAAGGGAAATAACCCTACTGATTGGATCCCTACTCACCTCGTTCGTTTCTTTGCAGATGTGCCAGGTCGGAGAAGCGAACTTGCTGCCTTGGCTGCAAAGAAAGTTGCTAAACCATGTTCCCTGTCACATGATCTTTTTTTTACAGGGGCTAATGGATCTGGCTGCATTGCTCCGTGCTATGAAAGATCAGCATATGGAGCTTCAGCGTCAGGCTGATGGAGCCCATCTTCAGGCTACCAAGGCTTGGCAGCATGCAGATGGAGCGGAGGCAGCCCTGAGGATACTTGTCGCATGGAATGAAGAGGATAAGATAACCCTGATTGATCTCCAATCCAAGTGTGACCAGCTGAAGTCCGAGTATAACCAACTAAAGGCGTCGTTTGCGGATGCAGCGCAAGAAGCAATTGCGGCGTTCAAAGCTTCCCAGGAATTTACTAAGCACGCTTCTTCCCAGACGTATGCTCTCCGTGCAGAGCAAGTTCGTGATTGTCTTCAGACCAGGGAGGGTTGCAATTGGCACAACAATATGTCTTGTTCTCTTTTAGTTGTGGCCGGCATGATACGTAGATTAGCCGTGATGAGGCGGAGAAGATGGCCCATGTTGATCTTGGACTTGTTCTTCGTGATTGATTTATTGCTTGAGCTTGTATGTATGCACTGTTCGTTCTTTCAATTTTCTTAGTCGTTTTTTATTCAAGAATACTTGCACAACTTGTCGGGGATCAGGCTCCCCACCTAGGCCGTGAGGGGCGGAAAATCGACAAGGTCGACCTTGAGTGCGCTCTGCTAGGTAAGGCGGGGCTGACCCACACAATGTCGGTCTAGGACCAACGAGTTGTGCAAGCTGTTTGGCCAGCGATTGAGCACCGGATGTATGAGAGGGGCTCGGGGCGCGACCTCTTTTATACCTTCGACCCGGAGGTCAGTCTTACACCACCTTGACTTATACAGCTAGTTTCATACTTGGGAAATATTTTGGTTGTTCCCTTTCTGAAAGTCGAACTGAAGTCGACCAAACGTAAGGGCAAGGCCTTGCATGATCAGACCAGAACAGACCCGCACCGTTGATCTTGTCAAGCGCGTATGCGGGCTGCTAAGCCTACCAACGTCAGACAACGGATGTACGAAAGGGGCTCAGAGCCCGACCATTCGCATTCCTTCGGTCCGGAGACTGGTCATATAGTTGTCGCATTGTTGACTAGATCATCATAAGTGTATGCGAGCTGTTTAGACAACAATGCTAGACAACGGATGTACGAGAGGGGCTCGGGGCGCGACGACTCGCATACCTTTTTGACCCGGAAGCCAGTCTTACAATTGCCCTGACCGAGCAGCTAACCCCGGACTTAGAAAGTAGTATGATCATTTCCTTGCCCGAGAGCTGAGCCGTGGTCGACCAAACACCGAGAGCGGGGCGTGATACACATATACTTTTTTTTTCTTTTCTCTTTTTCTTTCTTTCTTTTCTCTCTTTTCTTTTCTTTCCTTTTCTTTATTTTGGGGCACCGGTGTACTCTTTTCCCTTCACTAGGATTTTTTCCCACTGGGTTTTTTCCTAGTAAGGTTTTAACGAGGCACCCTCTCATTATGAACAAAGGAAGGCCAGTTCCCCGGGTCTTGACCAGTCGGTTGTGTTGATTCCTACTGCTTGCGAATGGAACGGGGGTCTCGCTGCCCGGTCAATGAGTCGGGGGGTCCAGGGAGCGATGCATCCCCTGACCTGGGGGTCCTAGGGGTGGAGTCGCCCCCGGCCTGACGGTATACAATGTTCTCTATCAACTTAGTCGATCCGGGCTTGCAATCCTTAAAAATGGGCCTTTAATTTTTCTTTATGTTATTAATAGCTCAGAGCTATCTTACCCTTTAAATATTTTTTCCTTAATTATTTTTTATAGTTATATAGTAGCTTTCTTGCTTGACCCAACAACATCTTCCAAAAGAAATAAAGCCTCCGCAACCCATGACCTAGCCGCCGCGCGCATAGACTTGAATTTTTCTCCAGCCCCATGGCGTCGTCACTGCTTAATAGCCCATCCCATTTGAGGAGACAAAGCAGCTTCGCACCAGCATCTCCGCATAGGAAAGGTCGCACACCTGGTTCACTGCGAGGTAGGGGTCGCCTGTCTGGATCGTCGCTGCTGGGTGCTGCTGTTTGATACTGCTGGTCGTTGGAGAGAAGCAAACGGTTTGGGCTCGAGCTCACCTGGAAGGTTCTTCGCACGACCAAAACTGATCGGGATACATGCATGTCATTGCCGCCAATTCGACCCAGCCGCCGAGACCCCATGTATGGCCGAGCTCATGGAGCGAGTACTTCTGAAGAAACTTTCTAGCGTGACGAAAGGGGAGAGCCCGGGCTGGTCCGACCACATGCAAACGGTAAATAATGGAAACCTAGGTCCTCTTTATCCTCCTTGCTCAAATTGGCTGGTGTGGCAGTTATTGTACGCGGCCAACATGACGTGTGCACTACCAGATTGCGGTTGGACGAGAATGAAAGGAAAGGCTATCATCAATCCCCTCACTACCAAGATGGCGAGAGCGGTGCTTGATCGCAGTTGGTCGGGAAAGATAGGCGGCCTCACCCTTTCAAAAACGCTGGAGAGGGTGCACAAGTGTTGAGATCTTCAAGGTCAGTTACAAAGGCAAATGCGGGTGGTAGGATCGCCCGACCTCTTGATGACTTGCATGATCGGTCACGACCCACTGGCGTGCATGAGAGACCCGAGCTCAGAGCTAGGGTTGGACTCTTGCCCGTTAGGGAGCCCGTAGAGCATGCACCTAGTCAAACCCCGGTCAAAGTTGCACGAGAGTTTGATCCGACACTGGATCATTCAGACAAAATCTTAGAGCTCTCTTACGATGGGTCGACAGAATCGGATAGTGATGGGGACCCAGACTCCGATATGATGCGACATGTTAGCGTGCAACGTTTGCGTCCTACTTGCACAGTAGGAGAGCTGAGATTGGCGGAGCATCTGATTGGCCATGATTGTATCCTTGCACTTCCGGGGCGCCTTGACAACCTCACCAATCCTTCTTCGAGCTTGTTCTTCCGTGCTCACATTGCGTCTATAGAGCAGGGCGTGCAGTTGCCCCTGTGCCCCTTCCTGGTAATGCTCCTCAGGCATCTTAGGATAACCACGAATCAGATGACACTAGCTGCCCACATGTTCACCACCGCTCTTGTAGCCCGGTGTGAGAAGGTGTCAATTCGACCTTCCATCGCCTTGTTTTGTTACTGCTTTCGCTGGAATCATCCCAGTCGTAACCCGAATGATTGTGGGTTTGTATCGTTCTACCAACCACCGCAACAACGTAAGTTGTTTCAGCAGCACTCTGACAACACCAGGAGGTGGTAGAGTAATTGGGTGTGGGTGTCAGCTCCCATCAAGTCTCCTGTTAGATTTACTTGGGGTACTTCATTGCGCAAATACCAACCTGTTTCCTTCACTCCCGATCTTGAGGAGGAGATCAATACTTTGTTTCAGGGAAGCCCTATCCCGATCACTTCGTATATGGGTATGTCTCGCACACAAAAAGGTCACATTTTTTGTACCTAGTATGATTTCTCACCTTGTCTATTTTCTTGTAGACGTGGCAACTAGGAAAGGTGCGTTTGCTACCCCTACTGAGGCGTTGGATGCTAAGCCCCGACCATCGATGTCTGATGCAGGTCAGATTAATGCAGTTGAGGAGTGCAAAGCTCCTCTGGCTGTTGCTAAGGAAAGGCACGCATCTTCCCCACCTCGTGAGGGACAACTTGTCAACAAAGGCAAAGGTGTAAACTGCTCCTTAGATTGGGTAAGAGGAGATAATCCATCCAGTAAAGTCCTTGCTCATTTTGTTTCTCTCCTTGTAGGTAGAACTAGTCGGAGAAGTGAACTTGCGGCCCTTGTCGACGCGGAGGATGCTAAGTCCCGATATTCGAGGTCTGGCGCAAGTCTGTTTGATGTCCGAGGAAAGCGCGGAGCTTCCCCACTTCGTGAAGATCCTATTGCTAACAAGAGAAGAGGCGTGGAACTAACCATAAGGCCACGTAGGGATAAAGAAATTGGCAAGCATGAGCCTAGCTCGCCTCGCGCTCCTCTCATTAGTCACCCGGGCACTGTGCCGCTTTCGGAGCCGGCAGAAGTAACCCGCTTGATCGCAGTTGGTCGGGAAAGATAGGCGGCCTCACCCTTTCAAAAACGCTGGAGAGGGTGCACAAGTGTTGAGATCTTCAAGGTCAGTTACAAAGGCAAATGCGGGTGGTAGGATCGCCCGACCTCTTGATGACTTGCATGATCGGTCACGACCCACTGGCGTGCATGAGAGACCCGAGCTCAGAGCTAGGGTTGGACTCTTGCCCGTTAGGGAGCCCGTAGAGCATGCACCTAGTCAAACCCCGGTCAAAGTTGCACGAGAGTTTGATCCGACACTGGATCATTCAGACAAAATCTTAGAGCTCTCTTACGATGGGTCGACAGAATCGGATAGTGATGGGGACCCAGACTCCGATATGATGCGACATGTTAGCGTGCAACGTTTGCGTCCTACTTGCACAGTAGGAGAGCTGAGATTGGCGGAGCATCTGATTGGCCATGATTGTATCCTTGCACTTCCGGGGCGCCTTGACAACCTCACCAATCCTTCTTCGAGCTTGTTCTTCCGTGCTCACATTGCGTCTATAGAGCAGGGCGTGCAGTTGCCCCTGTGCCCCTTCCTGGTAATGCTCCTCAGGCATCTTAGGATAACCACGAATCAGATGACACTAGCTGCCCACATGTTCACCACCGCTCTTGTAGCCCGGTGTGAGAAGGTGTCAATTCGACCTTCCATCGCCTTGTTTTGTTACTGCTTTCGCTGGAATCATCCCAGTCGTAACCCGAATGATTGTGGGTTTGTATCGTTCTACCAACCACCGCAACAACGTAAGTTGTTTCAGCAGCACTCTGACAACACCAGGAGGTGGTAGAGTAATTGGGTGTGGGTGTCAGCTCCCATCAAGTCTCCTGTTAGATTTACTTGGGGTACTTCATTGCGCAAATACCAACCTGTTTCCTTCACTCCCGATCTTGAGGAGGAGATCAATACTTTGTTTCAGGGAAGCCCTATCCCGATCACTTCGTATATGGGTATGTCTCGCACACAAAAAGGTCACATTTTTTGTACCTAGTATGATTTCTCACCTTGTCTATTTTCTTGTAGACGTGGCAACTAGGAAAGGTGCGTTTGCTACCCCTACTGAGGCGTTGGATGCTAAGCCCCGACCATCGATGTCTGATGCAGGTCAGATTAATGCAGTTGAGGAGTGCAAAGCTCCTCTGGCTGTTGCTAAGGAAAGGCACGCATCTTCCCCACCTCGTGAGGGACAACTTGTCAACAAAGGCAAAGGTGTAAACTGCTCCTTAGATTGGGTAAGAGGAGATAATCCATCCAGTAAAGTCCTTGCTCATTTTGTTTCTCTCCTTGTAGGTAGAACTAGTCGGAGAAGTGAACTTGCGGCCCTTGTCGACGCGGAGGATGCTAAGTCCCGATATTCGAGGTCTGGCGCAAGTCTGTTTGATGTCCGAGGAAAGCGCGGAGCTTCCCCACTTCGTGAAGATCCTATTGCTAACAAGAGAAGAGGCGTGGAACTAACCATAAGGCCACGTAGGGATAAAGAAATTGGCAAGCATGAGCCTAGCTCGCCTCGCGCTCCTCTCATTAGTCACCCGGGCACTGTGCCGCTTTCGGAGCCGGCAGAAGTAGCAGGGATTGCCCCATTCTTGATGTCTTCTGATGACAAGGAATACCTATCATCTGCTGGTTTATCATCTTTGGTGGGTCGTTCCATTCGGAACCATACTGAGGTGCATCACGTTACCTCCTTCCTTTCAATTTTGCGCTAATCCGCCATCTCTAACACATGTTTCTTTTATAGGGTTTGATGAGATTGATTACTGTGTTTCGCGCCAAGGACAACGAGTACAAGGAACTCCAGCAGCAAGTTAGTGATGTCCGACGCCAGATGGTCCAGGCTCGGAAGCGGGCGGACTGAGCAGAGGTTGTCCTGAAGATGCATATATGAGGCTCTCCATGAAGAAAATGAGAGAGCTTTGTCCGAGCTAGGGGTGTAAACGAGCCGAGCGGAGCCCGAACATGGGTATGCTTGAGTTTGAGCTTGATAAGAATTCACGAGCTCGAGCTCGATCTCGAGCTTGGACGAGTTCAATAATTCAAGCTCGATCTCGATCCGAGCTCAGCTCGAGCTCCATTCGAGCTTGGTTCGAGTTCGGGTCAAGTTTTGCTAATTAATTTTTATAGGTAACTCAAAAAAGATACCCGAACTCGAGCTAAAAATATTATATGTGTACTCATTCATTCTCATTTTTAGTTTATCTCTCATTTACTAACATTTTTATTCTTTATTTTACTGTCAATAAATAATAAGAGTACATATTATAATCATTACAGATTATGGTTATAATAATAATACTACGCACATGTTTCAAAAATAGTATATATATATAATTATTAGATATATATTTATTATATATAAAATATGACACAAAGGCTCGCGAGTCGGCTCGCGAGCCACGAGCCTAAAATAAATAGGCTTGAATTGAGCTTGTTAACTATTCGAGTCGAGCCGAACTCGAGTTGAGCGTAATATGACCGAACTCGAGTCGAGCTTTTCTCGAGCGATCCACGAGTAGCTCACGAGTGGCTTGGCTCATTTACACCCCTAGTCCGAGCTCATGTCCAGGCTGGCTCAGCTGGAGAGGTTGTCCAAGGATGTGGGAGATCAAGCAGTCACGGTTTTCAAGGCCTCCCCCGAATTTTCGGAGCTCATCACTTCAGGGTTGCCGTTCAGTCATGGTTGCAGACCCAGGAGGGATGAGAATGGCGTGATGACCAGACCCTGACCTCTTAGGCAGCTGGTGATGGCCTCGACACTGGATCTCCTAGGTACCTTCTGGATGTTTCTGATGGTTTGGAGGGAGATATATATGATTTTGATCTCGAGGATGTTCTCCCCGATTTTGATCTCGAGGATGCTAATCTCGAGGCTGTTCTCTCCGATACTCCTGGGAAGATGCTCGATCCTTAGATTATAGACCGTAGCTTTCTTACTTTACTTTTTTTAGGAGATGTTCGATATTTCACTTTGGTATCCGGCCTTATGTTTTTGAACTCCCATTCCTTATTCATAAAGTGTCTCGATGCTTTAGCCTGCATGTGTGCATTGTTCGTTCTTCTAATTTACTTAGTATGCTGGGGTGCCCCTGCTGAGGCGCCGGATGCTAAGCCCCGACCATCGATGTCTGATGCAGGTCCGTTTAGTGCAGGGGAGGAGCGCGGAGCTCCTCCGGCTGTTGCTAGGGAAAGGCGCGCATCTTCCCCACCTCGCAAGGGACAACTTGTCAACAAAGGCAAAGGTGTAAAATGCTCCTTAGGTCATGTAAGAGGAGATAATCCATCCAGTTAAAAGACCGAGGTTATACCTAAGGGGACATAAGTTATGACTCTGGTCTATAACTTCTGCGTTGAAAGAGCGAGGCGCATAGATACATCTGCTACACTGCTAGTAGGAGATAAGGTCCTGGTCGCTAAGTTCGTTTCAATTTTGACTAGGGTCAAAATCAAGGCTTGTTAAAGGAAAGAGATGTTCAACAACCTTCTGTAAGCCGTCATCCTCTGCACCCAGCTTTGCTGCTCTGCAGATCTACAGGCTGGGAAGAGAGAATCGTGACCGTAATCCTGGCCTACGGGTCGGAAGCCGCAGGGTGTCTCAGCCGTCCTCTTGAAGGTCATGCGATGTTTTGTCTGTGAAACTCCTGGGTCAGTGACCCATTACCCGAGCTGGGGGCGGCCAGATCAGAGGCAGCAAGGCAGAGTGAGCTGCAATGGAGTAGAGGTGAAGCAACCTGCTGGCTGGCGAGGTGGCATCCCTAAGGCGCGTCCGGCAATGGTGGGGCTATTTTACCTCTGAGGCGGAGGAATGAGTCGTGGACGGAGGGCAGGCTGTGAGTGGTGGTGTCGTGGCAGAGGTGCTCTCCCTTGGCTGGATTCTTTTGGTCTTTCCCTAAGATTTTGGTGTAATTTGACGAAACTTTTGCATTTTTCTTATGAAATTGCTGCATTCTCTCCAAGTTTCTACCGATAATTTGAGAAATTAACTCTCAATGAGAGCACTAATGTTGGTAGAAAATAACCTGGGTAGAGAAACTAGCAGCATTTCATTATAGTAAAATAGCGTGGAGAATACATGGGGGGTGATGGCCTATTTATAGGCATCCATCACAAGTCCAAAGCCTAACCTACGTGGGCTTGGCCCAAATACATAATACATGCCCAAGCTAATCGGAGAACCGGCCTGATAAATAAGTAAATGAGCAATGGGCTATTCCCGCTCGTGAGACTGTGTCTTGGGCCTAGTTGGGCCAAAGCTCTGGGATAACGGGCCGATGGCACTGGGCCTGGTCCATTATTCCAACAGGCGGCTTTTGGTCACTGCCTCACTGGCGGAATAGGTGTCATTGTAATTGGACATATCATTATGTCGGTGTAACTGGACAAGGTATAAATGTCATAGGAGTCTCTTTTTTGGAAACTTTTAAAATTGGTTGTATTTTTGTCCAACACTTATCTTTTAGTATTATTGGTGGCAAAACCCCTTAATTGTATAGTGAAGAGCTATATATAGTCTGTGTATAAAAGGAAGTCGAAATTATCTCCATATTATAATAATTATTTAAAAAAAAAAACTAAGTTACAAAGTCGGTAAATAAAAACAACTAACTTACAAGTTACAAATAATTAAAAAAGGAAATAAAATAAAATAAATATACGGAATATTGCCCATGTATAGGCCTGTCAATGGGTCGGGTCTAGACCCGGACCCGACCCGGACCCGGTTATTTTTAACGGGTATGGGTCTATATTTTATTCCGTTTACCAAGACCCGGATCCGGACCCGTTAGTATATTTAATAAACGGGTCAGGTACAGTACATATGATTCCGACCCGTTAAGGACCCGGACCCGTTTAAAATTTCTTATTTGTATCCAAACACTCTAATACATACAGTAATTAATTATAACACTTCAAGTAAGAAATTACAAACTATACACACACACACACACACACACACACAATAATAATACTACATAAAATTGTTAGTTGTAATTCTTCAATTGAAAATACACACACTAATACATACCTATTAGTGTGTGTATTAAATTAATACCCATTTTGACCGTTTATTCATAGTGATAAATGTGTATTATTAATATTATTATATCATTATCATACACTCCATACAATATGTTTTTATACTCTCAATAATCAAAGACATCTTTTGTGACTTAATTTGAAGTTTATGCTACGAGCTCTATGTACGAGAAAAAGCGACACAGAGTGTTGAGTTATACGCAGGAACCGATACTTTATTGGATAAAAGTAATAACATGAGAAACCTTGATTTTTTTAAAAAGTGAGGATATATTTTGATTTTCAGTTTCCGCACTTTTCTTTACATTTAACATAGAGGTCTTGTTATTTTCACAAAATTTATAACGGTATCATACTTGGCGGGTCTACCCAACCCGGTTCCGAGACCCGTTGGGTCCGGGTCCAAATTTTCAGACCCGCCGGGTAAACGGGTCGGGTCTGGGTCCATTATTAACTTAGCGGGTCCGGGTCTGGAACACTATGTTCCGGCCCAGACCCGACCCATTGACAGGCCTACCCATGTATGGGAGCAGGGACCAGCGAGCTCATACCGCCAATACCGACAATACATAATTCAACTAATTGTTTGCCGCCTGTTTGGTTTTAGGCAATAGTGAAACATACTTATAGATTGTACATTTGTACTTTACTTGCATGGAAATATTGGTAGATATATCGATATCAATATGTACGAAAGTGAAAATGTGAACAAATTATTGAATATTTTATAAATAAACATCAAATTTTAGTGTTAATTTACTAATGTTCAATACATATTTAAACATGTCTTTTTATTAAATACATCTTGAATTAAGTATATCAATAATAAAATGTACAAGTTTTTTCTAAAGCCTTACTGAAAATAAAATTTATTGATAAAAATATGACTAAATTTATTATATATATCACTTAAGTGTGAAAGTTGAAAGATAATTGTGCAGTTAAAAGCGTAATTATCTTCAAGAATTCAGTTGAATGTCTTCCCGATTGAATTTTTATATGAAATTTGGTATGAGTGAACTAAACTTAATGAATAAGATGATCAAAAAAATTTATCAAAAAATTCCACCGGGAACCGCCTCAAATGGCACGTCCGGATAGAATCTTCTATATAAGGACTTATTTGATCCCTTTTATGCAACTTCAAGGACCAAACTGACCCTTTACTCCATAAAAATAGTATGTAAAAGTCATTTCTATATGCACTACATTTGAGAAGCCACATTGTCTTTCATCATCTTTGTTTGGGGTGTTTAAATCTGATTCTTAAAACTGCTTCTGCTCCTTCAGGGACCAGAAGCAGAAGCTGGAATATTTGGGTGAAAGTGCAGAAGTGATTATAGTACTCAAATTTACTCATATAATCAGTTTTTTAGAAGCTGAGGGTGACCAGCTTCTGAAAACTGATTCTGATTCTGCTTCTGCTTTAAAAAAAGAAGCAGAAGCATAATCAGTTCCAAACACCCCCTTTGTACTATTAAGGATGTTTTTTTGGACTGAAATTTGCTGGTCTGGTCTGGTCTGGTCTGGTCTGATCTGGTCTGGGAAGAGTTACAGTCCAAGTAAAAACATCCTAATACTCGTAACTCGTATGTCATTATTTCTGAAATGTATGGAGTATTGAATTGTAACCTGACTTCTGGTCCCGTGACTATTGCGTGAATGATACTTTTGGTACTCGACTTCTAATTTTTTCATTTTTAGTCCTCGACTATTGTGCTAGAGGCACTTTTAGTCCTTGACTACAAACTTTTCCACATTTAGTCCCTGAGTATTGTATAATTGACACTTTTAGTCCTTCCATTGTGATTTTGACACAATAAGTGAAGGGCTAAAAATGTCACTATTATAATAGTTGAAGGACCAAAAGTGCCACTTTTATGAAAGTTGAAGGACTAAATATGGAATTATTCAAAGACAAGTACCAAAAGTGCCTCTAACGCAATAGTCAAGGACTAAAAATAGAAAAAAACAAAGTCAAGTACCAAAAGTGTCAATGACATA